TTTTCTTTTCTGTAAACGCCAGTGGCCTTTTGTTTTAACTCCGCGTTAATCCGAGGTTAATAACATGCACTACGTTATCCCGTGACCTACCGGACAAGTACAGTGTTTAAGCGTTTAATATTTATTGTTTAGACTTCGAGCGGACCCAGAGAAGTGTATTATTTCCATCTCGGGAGCGTGGTACCACTGCAGGGAAGCTGGGATGTCAAGTGGGCAATTAGCCGTGGGGAAACGGCCGGCTTTGCTTTAGGAAGGTCCAGGGAGATGAACCGAGAAACACTCGGTGCTTAACAGCAAAAAAAAATAAAGTATAAACATCTCCACATTAAAAGCCAGAGTTCCATATTGAGTTTAGAGCAGGCGTACACTCCTTGGGATGCTTGTGGGTTTTCTGGAAAAGGCCTTAATGTTTAGAAAAAAAGTCTCTGAAATCAGTCTGCTTGTTTGTTTTGAAAGCAGAACTTTTGTTGCATCATTATTGACATGCGGGCAGAGGGAGGGATAAGCTGAGTTGGGTCTGTTTCGGTAAGGTCGGGAGTCACTGTATGCGCACACTTGGTTATAACTATTGTCTTAAAATAACAAGTGTGTACTTGGAAATGTGGTGGAGCTTGGTGTTGCACTAGTGAGACAGGACCCGGCTGTTATCGGTGTAGCTTGGCTGTGTTTTGAGTCTCAAGTATCTAAATTTTTTTTTAAGTTAAGAGAAATAAAGTATTTAAAGGAAAAAAAAAATTGCTTCCCTTTGATCGAAGTAAGAGATGACTTGGGGAGTGAGTGGTCACAGCCATCACTGCTGCCACTGAAAAATTCTGACTTTGCTTCTCTTGCCATAGAATGAAAATACTCTGTGTCCCAGACAAAGGAATGCCAAGGTGGAAGATCTTTGGAGTCTGACCAACTTTTTCGGTTTTGCAACTGAAACGTTTGTTTTGGCTGTTAACATTCTGGACAGATTCTTGGCTCTTATGAAGGTATGTCGGGGGTAGAGGGCCTGCTGTAGTATCAGCTGGGAAAATGCGAACTTTCTGTGAACTGCCTTGTCTGACAAAAAGGGGAAGGTTGTGATCTGGGACATAACCGTAGCTTTTTACCCATTCTATGCTAGCAAAATTTCTGAAGTCCTCCTTTGTAAACCTGAAGTTCAGCAGAGTGTTTTTTTATCTCTAAAGGCAAGTAGCAGCATGATTTATTTCCTCTAGTAAGTCTGTAGCCTTCACCGCATAGGTGTAGAAGACTAAGAAAAGAGGAATTAAGAAGGAACAGAACAATTTGTGTTACAGTCTATTTCTAGGTACTGTGCTAGAGCTTACCTTAGCACTGGAACTAACACCAAATGATCATTTACTGGATGTTTTTCTTTTCATGTTTGTGCTGCTTTATGGCAGACAATTTGAACCTAAACCAGTTCCCCATTATTAAGTTGGCAGAAAAACTAGAGTTGCATGAATTCTGTGGTCTGACAGTCCTTAAGGTTGCCCAAAATGTTATGCTGGTACGTGGGAGAGAACAGCAGAGGGAGGAACAGGTTGTGGAGGGATGGGACTGCCTGGAACAGGCTCAGGCTGGATTTGTATAGGCTTTAATTGAGGGAAAATGAGCCCTGCCGCTTGGAGAAGCAGGGTATTGCAGTTCTCACTGCAATTTATTCGTTGCGTAGTGATGTGGAACAATTTCAATAGAGGGTGCTCAGCTGTTGAACTTTACTTCCTCTGACTTGGCTCTGGTAGATTCGTGTTGCTTTATTGGGTCTGCCAGCTGTGTTTTGCTGAAACCGAAGTGATGAAACTAGTTGTGACTAGGTGAGGTGTATGAGTTGACTGACATCAGGTCTAGTTGAGATTAGCAAATCTCTTTCTCTTGAGCTGTGAATATTCAAAACAGCTCACCTAGGCTGGGTGAGCTGTTGGTGTTGCTGTTTAAGCACGGTGTTCGTGGGGCAGGAAGTATTCATAATGCTTCCTCTTATTTTTAGGTGAAACCGAAGCATTTATCTTGCATTGGAGTTTGTTGTTTCCAGCTGGCTGCCCGAGTAGTTGAAGAAGAATGTAATATTCCTTCTGCTCATGAGATCATCCGGATCAGCCAATGTAAATGCACTGTGTCCGACCTGAAACGGATGGAAAAGATAATTTCAGAAAAGTTGCACTTTGAATTTAAAGCTACTACTGCCTTAACCTTCTTGCACTTGTACCATACTATTGTACTCTGTCATACCTCAGAAAGGTGAGTTGAGTTGCACGTTGGTGGTGGTCTGTGTGTTTGTTAGACCCTTTTTAATTGCTTCTTAAATGATTATGGCATTGGCTATAGAGGAGGCAGCTCCTTAGTTTTTCTACTTCCTGACAAGTGAATGCTTGTTGATACACATGCGTTTCTCCTGGCTGTCTTACAGGAAAGAAGTATTGAATCTTGACAAATTGGAAGCGCAGCTAAAAGCTTGCAACTGTCGTCTGGTCTTTTCTAAAGCAAAAGTAAGTAGAGGTAGCTTTCTTTGACTCCTGAGTAGGTTTTGATTCATGTTATGTTGAGCGGTGTTTTTTGTACTTCTAGCCATCTGTCTTGGCCTTGTGCCTTCTCACTCTAGAAGTTCAGACTTTGAAATCTGTTGAGCTGTTTGAGATCCTTCTGCGTGTTCAAAAGCATTCTAAGGTAAATATTTTCTGTGGCTTGTTTTTGCAGTTGTTGGGGCTGGTGCAGTTAATGATGTACAACCTTACATTTAAGGGCCTCCTGCTGTCAGTGTACAATCTTTACCGGTGCTGTTTGGCATCAGCTGAAACAAGCAATGAAATGGGTCTTTAAGCATCTGTCTGCAACTCTTGTAACTAGCATGGTTTCATTGGTAGGATGCCAAATGCAAAAAACCTGCTGCTTAGGAAGTGAGATCAGGGAGTCATTTTGCACTGGCACATCTTGGCAACTGCCTGGCAAGCAGAAGGATTATAGTTTAAAGAACTAGCTTAAATGTATAAAATCAGAAGAAATGCTGACCTAATGCCTAGACAATACATGCTTTAACAAGCAGCTGACTTAACTTGTACAGTTCTAGCTGTATGTTCTAGAGAAACTTCCAGTTGGTTTGTAGGACTGCAATGACTGCTGTGCTGGTTATTCTCTTTGCCTGAATAACTAACATAGGCTTTACAGCTTCTAGCTGCATGCTGTGTCAGGTGATGGTCTAGAACAAGCTTTTCCCTCTTACAGTCAAATTGAAGGAACCCGGTTTCTTGCGGGGTGGAAGTAGTTCCTTAAAGTATGAGATGATTCCATTTTAAAATGGAATAATCTTGATTTCATTTTTCCTTTGGAAGTGATCATGAAAATGTTAACAGCAACTGACAGGCAAACTGTCAACTCACGCTTCAGTGTGGACATTTCTAGGAGGTGTATGGGAGTTCACCTTCAAAAGCAACCCGACTTTGACAAAGATAGCACAGTTATAACTCATTTATGTCTTGACTGGTATTTTTTCAAGTCTTTTTCAAGAAGGTGAGATGGAGGGAGGGGTTATCTTTAGAGCCTCTGTGTGCAATAGACTAAATAGGTTCTTTTTTGCTTTTCAGATAAGTGATAGTGACCTGCTTTACTGGAGGGAATTGGTCTCAAAATGCCTAGCAGATTATTCTTCTCCTGAATGTTGCAAGCCTGATCATAAAAAGCTAGTTTGGATTGTTTCGAGACGTACAGCCCAGAATCTGCAAAACAGTTACTACAGTGTTCCTGAATTGCCAACCATACCAGAGGGTGGATGTTTCAATGAAAGCGAGAGGTTGGTACATCTTACACCAGGTGGTTAATTTGTTGGGAATTCTCATTTTCAGGAGATGTTAACGGCAACTCTGTATAACTAGGCTTATTCACTACTACTTGGGGAAAAAAAAAATGCTAGCTTTGAAAATACTGATGGACTTAGAATAAATCTTGGAAGAAAAAAGGTGAAGTGTCATTGTAGCATTCAAAAAAGTACAAGTGCTTTGCAGGATGGGGGGAGGCATTCCTTTTTTTAAGGCAGGGAGGCTTACAAAGCATTTAAGTCTTATAAAGTAGTTTATATTCGGTATCTTGAACACTGGCACCTTGGTTGGTAGGAGATTTTTGGCATTAGAAGAAAGGAAGTTGTATGTTGTTACGACTTTTAAGCCATAGTGCTGAGAAGCATTTAGATCTGGGATGTTACTCTGGGAACAGAAAAGCATGCAAGAAAACACAGGTTTGAGGAGTACTGTGCCACTTTTAGGGGGGTGTGCTTTGTTTAAATTACCTTTCCCTCTTTTCCTTCTAGCGAAGACTCCTGTGAAGATATGAGCAGCGGAGAAGAAAGCCTTAGCAGTTCTCCTCCGAGTGATCTGGAAGGCACCTTCTTCTTTGAACTCCAACCTAAAACAAAGTGGCAGAGTCTTAGCTGTCGGTCGTAGCATTAAGTCTTGATTGTATTAGGTTGAGATTTTTAATGCACCATAGAGTCTTTTGGCAATAATAAATGAGGCGGTAATCTGTAAACTGTATTAAGGCAAGAATTGCTGTGGTATATCAATGCTTTGAATGCCTGCCTTGGTCTTTTGTTGCTGTAATTTTAAGGAAGAAAAAGCCAGTTCAGGTCCGCAGTTCAGCAAACAAGTTCATGTATAGTTCTGTTGTCAACAAGCGTAAGTGTAGTCTGGTACCTGGCGGTCCAAGATGCTTAGCAGCTAAACACGTGAGCAGTGTGCCCTGGCAGCAATGAGGGCGGACAGCACGCTGGACTGTCTTAACAGGAGTGTGGCTGAGAGATTGAGGGAAGTAGGTGGTTTTTTTTGCTCCCTTCACTTGGCATTCATTCATTCTCATTTGGAACAGTGTCCAGTTTTGGGCCTCAAGACATAGATCACCTGGTGAACGTCCAACAGGAAGCTGCCAAAGTGTCCTGAGGCCCAAGTGAGAAGTGAGAAGCATGGAGCAAGAGGTAGAGGCTTTTATTAAATTGAAATGTGAAGTTCTCAGCTAATAGAAGCAGCTTGCTCTGTGGGGACAGTCGAGCATGGGAGTGGACCAAGAGGGGCTGTGCAGTCTTTATCCTGGGAGGTTCTTGGGATTCACCATGACAAAACCCAGAGCTTGGTTTGAATTCAGCGCTGACCCTGCTTTGAGCAGGATGTTGGACTGGAGTCCTCTTGAGGGCACTTCCACTCTTTAGTATTTTGGGATTAGATCAAATTGGCCGAGTAGGCTATGTGGAACGATACGTATGCATAGCACCAGGCTGAAATGATTTACTGTCAAATGGGCCAAATACTGAAGCTGCTTGAATGCTTTACGTGCTGTGCTCCTTTTTAGCAGGATCTTGAGTTGTGTACTCCAAGTAGATTTTTTTAAAGCTTGATTTTTTTTTAATAAACTTTGGGAATCCCTATTTCACAACAGGAGTATGCAAGAAGGAGGTTTCTAGTCAATACTAGTTTTCACTAAAGGATAGTATAAAATGTGTGGCAGGGGTAACTTTGTATTTTCTTTAATACAGATGTTTTTACATGGAAATTCACATTGTATGCTTCAGTGTGTTTAAAATCTTAACTGTTAACATGTCAATCCATACTATTAGCTTAGACTTATTAACATGATAAATCTTGATAAGTCTACATTCCTTTTAATATTTAACCCTTGTAGTTTTTTGGTATATTCATGTTATTGATTGAGTCATAATCAGACTTGTTTGCATGCTTAATGTAAAGCAGTTAGTGCAGGGAAAGTTGATATGATGCAGTAATATCAGGTAAATGTGATGTTGATGAAGTAGTTAATGTAATGGTTTTTTCTGAACTTTTTTATTGAAGCACAAATTGAAGTATGATTGTGTTTCTCCATATTGAGAACATGGCTAGGTAGCAAGTGGACTAATTAGCTCAGAATAATGGTGTGAAGCGTGTTGGTGCCAAAGTAGAAAAGAAGGAGCAAACAAGCTAAAGGCTGTTTTATAGATGCAAGCATTGGTTTAGAATGGTAAGAGCAGTGCCGTAAGTTCATAACTGTTTTGTGATTTCAGTTTTATAAAAATACAAAAAGTTTACAAAAATGTATATAAAAATGTAAATTAAAAAATGTATAGAAAAAAATTTAAAACAAAAAATGAGCAGAAAATACTGTATTTTTTTATATTGTATGTAACTTTTTGTAGGTATGTTGCATGTAGATAGTAATTTATTGTGTACTCTGTATGATATAAGTGCTGTACATCGGAAGGCTTCTCACTGCAAATCTCTGCGCCTGGAAGCTCACTTCTGAAATGGAGTACTTTGGTTGCAGGTAACGAACCTACTGAGTCTTGTTTCAGTTGAGAACAGAAATAAACCAAGTGCTGATTTGTTAACTGGTGTGAGTTACGGATGGTTACTTGAAGCTTTTGGCTTGCCTTTTATTTTTTTTTTTTGCTGTGCAGCTTGTATGGTGCTGCAGCTGTGCTCCAGCTTCCCCAGAAGGAAGCAGTTTGCAAAGAAAAAGGACAGACTTCTGTATGGCTTGCTACTGGGTGTGAATCTGTTCTTGGCTTTGCTCCTGTCAGTTTTAGAAGCTGATGTGAGGTGTCTTCTGCTTTCACCAAGCTCCAGCTGGGCCCTGTCCTGGCGGGACGAGTGTGGTGAATGGGGCATTTGGACATCTGGCAAATGGGAGCTCTGGTTCGTGGTTAAGTTTGGGGTCATTGCAGGCCAAGTGTTCCGGGTTTTGCTGGATTTGTGGTTGCTGTCGTTCCCAGTCTTCTGACCTTGGGATGTGTCTGCATCTTGGCAATCCAAAACACCTACAGTAACTCGAAGGCAAACTTGAGCTTGTTTCCTTTTTGTCTCCTGTCCATCTTGCAAAAGTATTTCAAAACAGTGCCTATCTTGCAAAAGTTAAGGAGTAAGGGGCTGTAAATGGTTCTTGCTGGAAAGATGTTCCCAGCCCTAGAAGGACTGAAAGAGGGAGCCAGAACCTGCGCTCTGCTACCTGCTGAGATGGCTGTAAGCATCGTCATGGACCTACTGCACCTTGTAGCTTGATACAGATCTTCCCTCTTTTTGTCCTTTTGTGTGCAAGGGATGGAGTGAGAGAAAGCATGAAGGCGTTCCCTCTGCCAGGACAGCCTGTCTTACAGCTCCGGCCTCGGATGTTCCAGCGCTGGGGCAGTGTGCGTAGGCTGGGGCTGGGAAGGAGTTAGGGTGCTGTGAGGCTGGCTGAGTGCTGACACTCATGGGCAGGGAGCATGTGTGGGAAGAATAGGGCCACTGCTACTGTTAAAGTAATCCTCTGAGTGTAATAACTCAGGTTTTCCCTTATGGCCTTCATAGCTACTTTTTTTTAAATACAGGAACACACTACAAGGCTTCTCACTTCCCACATACAACAGCTGAGGGATGGACACTTGATACTCCGAAGAGTTCTCTATGAAATTCTCTTCTGTCTGGTAACTCACACATACCACTCAAAGTCCCTTGTATAATGGAACCGCTCGCCTCTGAAACACGCGCTGCAGTGTGTTAAGAGCAATGGATTCCTTGCTGTCTGTTGTGACCGATTTGAACGTGAAAGCTACCGCAGCAAAGATGTTCGGCTTCTACTTCAAAGGTGCCTGCCTGGGTCGCTTTGCCAACGGCCTCGCGTGGGAGCCGGCAGATAATGCGTGCACTGTGTAGGTGGGCTCTTAGGGGGGTAGGGACGTTGCCCATGGCTTCCTGGGTCTACTAACAAGTTGTGGGGTTAGTCTAATAAAGCTTGAGGTGTACCTTTCAGTCCCTTTCAAGTTTGTCCCAGCATGAAAAGAAATTTGCTTGTAAGAACATTGTCAGGTTTACTTGTGTGGTTTGATAATTGAGGCTCAACTTTGATTTTCCTGGGTCCCATAGCTGCGTATCCCTCAAAGGAGGTTTGCCTGGATTTGCTCAAAGAATGAGGCTCTTGGTGGTTGGCTTGTTTTTAACAGCAGAGGTGTGCATGGGGTTTAAATGCCTTTTTTGGGGGCTTGTTTGTACCACGAGGCGAAACTTTGAATGCTTGTAATCTCAAGAGTTTAAATATGCGCTCATTTTCATAACTGCTTTGTCGGTAAGACTGGTTTGGGTGGGGGCTGGAAGGGAGTGTTTCTGCGGGGAAGACATCCCCTGGGACGGTTTCCATCCGAGCTCTGGGATGTTAACTCCCTGTGCCTTTGTGAGACGGTGTCTTGCCCAGCCTATTTGAAGTGTAGAGCTGAAGGGTCACATCGGTGTCGATAAGCCCTGGTTTCTGAGAGGATCTCAAGGTGTTATCGTGCCGCTCACCCGCTCTCCTCTGGCTGAACTGGGCTGCAGGGGATCTGTAGTGGAACCGCTTCTGTTCCTAGTGAATTGTCATTCCATAATTAAATTATGATAATGGCCTTTTAAATGGGAAACTTGACTTCTCTACCGCTTGATTACGTAACGAGTGACACAGAGCTATAAAATCTTTCAGCATAAATCAGTCGGTGTGTTCAGGCTGGGGTCTTTACCCCTTTTTTTTCTGGTGGAATAAGGAATAAGTTTGTGTTGGTCCGTGCTTAGAGCAGGCTCTGTGTTTGACCGTAGCGTGAAAGGCTGAGCCATGCGGTCAAGGATCGCCATCTCATACCGCTGCTTTGCTTGCTTGGGAAGGGGCTGGACTAATAGGTGAATGCCTTGTCCTTGTGATTGCAGTTAGCTGTCAGGGCTTTGATGCTCAGCAGAATGTGAATCAGTAGATGCTGGGGCAGGACCAGAAACCAGCTTCTGCAATTTCCAGTTCAATGTGCATCGCACGGGGCCTTTAACAAGGGAAAATGTCTGGTTTTCCATTTCCGAACGACGTCTAACTTGCAGCTGCTGTCTTCAGCTCCTGAAAAACTTGATGCGTGTGAGACGGATGACTCAAGAGATCTTAAGGATGTGCTCCGGGGACCAGCAAAATGTGCTTTGCTAGCATACGTGCTGGGAGAGCATGTTAGTGGACATGTTTACAGGTGAGCTGCAGTTCCACTGTCCCTGGGGAGAGGCTGGGCAGGAGGGATGAAGAGGAGTGGATGTGTAGGTATAGCCGAGCGAAGGCTGTGCCGGGTGTTCTTGTTTAACTGAGCTGCGTACCACCTTCTAAACGGCGAAAGGCACAGTTTTGACTTCAGGTCTCGACTGTCAGGTTTTGAATTCTTGCTCTGAATTCCTGTAGTGCAAAAGCTTTTCTGGAAAAGAGAATATAGATAAGAGAATGTCTAACATACGTGCTGACAAAACCGCCGTTACTAACTAGCTTCTTCACAAAACGGCCCCTGTTTTTGCCCAAGCAGAGTGCCAAGAGGTGGAAAGGGAGAACAGTCAGTGGTGGAGACATCAGTTGGGACAGGGGAGAGAAACTGCGTGTAATAATAAAACATTGGCCTAGGTGTTAGCTCTATGGTCTCTGTCTACTCTGTATCATACGGGCAGATAATCAGTATTATTTATCTTACAGGTTGCAACTGTGGTGTGTCACACTGCCTTTCCTCATGGCTAAGCCTGTAAGAGTCTAGCGTAGTGCATACACTAAAAGGAGAAAGTTGCCATAACAACTGAATGAAATCAATTAGAGTAATAAGCAATTAAAATCTCATCCTCAGTGTTGCATAAACATAGAGTTTT